ATGATGTATGTGGTGGAAAATACTGGGAGGCAATCTGTCATACCATCGACGTCCTACAGGCAGGTATCTCTACTGCTCTCCAGTCTTCTTCACTTCTCCCCTTTACGACTAAAAACATATGAGTATCATACGAATAATACGAGTAATCCTGTTCGTTTATCCATAGAGAAACAAATATTATCCTCAGTATTTTAATAAGTATCAGCTAATTATAATCAATTAAATTATTATTTTTAATAATTTTGATTAATATTTAACAAAGGTATATCTAATAATTTAATTGAATAATACCTCGTGCTTTATATTTAGTTGAATATTCATCTCATATTTTATTGTGATTGGTCAATTCTTACAACTTCAACCACTTACAACTATAGGTTTACGCAATTGTAGAATGAACTTACGACTTGTAAAAAATTTAAACAAATATGTAAATGAATTATCCAATAAAGAGTTCTTTTGAATATTTCTGAAGACACAACTGGCATGTCCTCTTTTTTCTCAATACGCGGAATACATGCCCCTTTTCTCATCTTTTGTAGTCTTTTTCCTCCAGTTCCTTTCGGGTATATGGCTGATTAAACGCGCAACTATGTAACGTAACGCAAATATACTGGCCTCAGGCTCGTCTTGCCTTTCCTTTTTCGACGTTCCTCATCCCTGACGGCAGCTCGAAGTCGTCCCGTTCTCGATTTCACCTTTCGACTCTCTTTGAATTCCAACCCCGGTCACTTGACGGAAATATTTATCGAGGGTCTCCGGCGGGGCTCTCCTCCTCCTTCGTTGCCCTGCTTCGAGCTAGATAGGACGACGACAGAACGAGACGCGGTTCCACGTAGTTCACTCCGATACCTTTCGCCGAAGCTCTACTGTTCCCTCTTCGACTATCACGCTCGTTCTCGCTCTCGCGAGTTCTTTGATCCATTTTACAGAGTTTGTTCGGTACGGATTATTTACTCTCTTAATTACATTTCGATTCTATCTCTTCTCGTCTTCTCAACGTTCATTCGTTATACGACTGAATGACTGATTGTCAGTTCGGCCGTGCTTACTTTTAATGCGTTGGTAGGATCAAGCTATGTAAATCTCACAGTATTCTACATCGTAAATGTATATTAAGTATATAATCTTGTATTTATAGAGAGAATATAACAAGGATGTTAACTGTAAAAAATTGGCGTTCTTATATTTTTTGCTAAATGAAACTTTGCGAATATGAATATACAATACACTTCTACGTCTGATATATCAATTTCTATGTTCTATGACTAATATTGATATTTTTTTTAATACATAAGCATGCGAGTGTATAGGTTTTCTGTATTGATTTTGGTGAGCGTTTCGATATTTTGACAAGATGATGACGTTTTTATATTCTTTGGTTTTCTCTCATCCTTTCTTGGCCCACGACGGCGGAGAATGAGAGCGCCAGGACCTGATTTACATTTCTTTCTCTCGTCGACATAAAAATTCCGCGGCGATAACTTCCTTTGTTCCACCCTCCGTGGTCGCGGGAACGACCGACCCCTGCGGCTCAAGAACTGAGGGGGGGGGGGGGGAAACCTCGTCTAGTTTCTCGTCCATATTACATTTTTCCTTAATTAAAGGCAATACACACCTCTTGATGGCAGACGCGAATCATCTCTTGTTGACCACGATGGAGAAACCGAAATTTGTAATATTGGCAAAATAATATTCGTCTAATGTGTAATAGTTGAGACTGTATATTAACTATTAAATGTAATATAATGTACAGTATACTGTGCTAACTATTTATATACAAAATGTGAAGTTCACAAATTAATAAGAATGTTAAAGGATATTAAATTTTAATATTTTGTATTTAAAAAGTACTTTTATTATCGTGAACGCACACATACATATGTTGAACATCTACATAGATTATTTAAAAAATGAAAAGTTTTGATATACGAGAAAAAATTTATTTTTATTTTAACATCCCGTTACGTAGTTGTTTAAAATCATTACATATAATGTGCATATAGTCATGTATATAAGACAGAATAAAAACAATTGAAATAGAAACTAGAATTATATAATTATATTATTAAATAATATAACATTTTTATATTATTTGAATGAATTTTTTAGAAAATAATTAAAAAATGATACTTTTATTAATATTGATAACTAATTACATAAAAACAATAATAATTACAAAACGGACTCTCAAATTCTAAATAACATATAAATAAAAGTAGGCTAATGAGAGTCAGCGCAGATAAACGGCGCAAATTATTATGAAATAATTTAATACTCTGTAGTTGGAATAATATCTTCTTTATTTGAACGCGTTTCAACTCTCTTTGGAGTTTTCCTCAGCAATGTAGATACAAAAGTATTATAGCTCACATATCCATAACGATCAAGTCACTTACAAATTAACAGAGATGAAGCGTTACTAATCATTAATTAACGAGAAACGTATCATGAAGCTTTGTCACATATTCAAAAGCGAAATTAAATACAGATGCGTTGTAATATCAAGAATTCAGATATATATGTACATTGCACATGTTAAGATCACGTTCGTACATAACGACATGTCGCTCGAACTTAACTAATTATATAATTATTTTTTATCAGATATATCTGAAGAAACTATCATTATATCTATCTGCGCATTATATTTGTGTTAATAAAGATTCAAACGCGGAAAAATGATGACGATAATTTATTAGATTCGCACATTCTCTTCTATGCGACATTACGCGAATGTAAAGTTCAGGGTCCAGTATAAAATACCAATCATCCGAGCAGCTTGATCGCTTTTTAAGTTGAGTGATAATTACCATTATATTTTCGCGGAAGTTTTCGCAATCGTACTTGAGAATTACGTCGAAAGCATCCAGAACGACGATTGAGCGAACCGTAACCATGCGACGTTTCGCAACTTTATACGTTCCTGATAATCTCTCGGAGAGCTCTCGGACGGTTATTCGCGGTGGTCGTCGGGGATTTATGAAATGGCAATAAAATTTATATGACTCGGTGGATCGTTAGGGGTGCAGTTCGCTCGTTCAGATTGATGTTGGTTGTGCCGCGAGTCTGGTCCACTTGCCCGAGGCTACGTTTGTTTCTCTCTGCGATCGTCGCAGAACGGTCCACACTCATTATTAATCCCTTGGAAATCGCGACAGTCATTTTACAATCACTGTGTAGAATGTAAAAGAGCTACATTTTCTAGCTAATATTTTGTTGAATCAATTCGAAATTTTGTAGATTAAATATAATAACGCATATTGTGCATTGTATGCTTTTTTCTTTTAATCACACAAATTTGGGATTTACATTGGATGTATAAATTTTAGGGTAAAGCGGGGCTATTCCGTCAGTTTCAACATTAAAGTAATACGAAGATTTACCATAGCAAATAATATCGTCTCTTTACAGTGACGTGGTTATAATTACATTATACAATCATGATTGCTCTTTAAAAACACAAGCACAACCTTTAAATAATCAACATGTGTTGTTCAGAAACACAAACATATTATCGCAAAAAATGGACAGAAAAGCCCCTCTCTATCCTATATTATATTTACGTTAGTTTTGCATGTAATTGTACGTTTGATCAACTCTCATTAATTATTATCACATGTTTTATTCAATTCAATAATTAAATAATTATTTATAGATGTTTTATACATATTTTCAAAAAATACGTATAAAAAAATTATGAAAAAATTACAGATTATTATAAATCATGTTTAAAAATAATACGACAAATTTAGTGACGGTTTACTATCTGTATCATAAATTATTTTAATAAATAGTAGCATTTTTTAAATCTGTGCTCTAATAAAAATATGCGGAAATGTATTATAAAATAAATGATAAAAATCTTAATTTTTTAATATGAGTATATTATGTATTCAAGATTATTTATGTAGAGTTATATTGCGATGTATGAATTAGTGTTTATACATCGATAAAATAGTGATAAAAATCTCGATTTTTTAATATGAGTATATTATGTATTCAAGATTATTTATGTAGAGTTATATTGCGATGTATGAACTAGTGTTATCCAGTAAATAAATAAAATACAATATTTATTTGTTCTACATATATCTTTGTAACTAATCAGTGAATCGAAATGAAACTTTGCATAAATTATTTTGAATATTTAAAATACTTATAAAAGAAAAGTATAAACTTTTTAATCATTTTTTAAATTTTAGTTTTTAACAAGAAAAACAATAAATAAAATTAATAAACTACAAAAATATGTTATTAAACAAAAATATAATTTTATTCGCACAACTTTCATATGTATATAGTTTATTTGAAGTGTAAATATTAAACATATTTCCAAATTTAATTTTCTTTGCACGTCTAATACTTTAACTGAATTGTGTAATAAATTTATTTGTTGTATATTCAAGTGCAAAGCGGATTCATTTAAACATAATGCAGATCAATTGTTATTAAAATTATGCATAACTATATAAAATCAATTAGACGAAATATATATATATAAGTTTATTATTTTGGAATTTTCGAGCGAGTCTATATTTTTACAAGATGTAAATATTTAATTTCAGCTTTTATTAATATATTATACTATTTAATCTTTAATAAATATAGCCGGAAGAGAGTTCGCGACGTATCTTATACATAATCTTGCTTTCCTATCGTTTGAGCTGGAGCAGAGAGAAGCGAAAAAAAGGTGCTTCTGATAACTCACTTATGCAGTGAATCACGCGTGTGCTCTGCCGAGCATGATGCCTCGAGGACATGTCTGTTCTACCTGTTGCTCAATTCCCCATTGACGGTAGCAAGTATCGCACGAAGAATTCGACGGCCTCTCCTTCTCCACGCTTCCTCCCACCTATCACAACGTGGAAGAATTCGCAAACCGCTAAAGCGACTGCAATGAATTTTCAGAAAATAAAATGATTTTCAACGACAAGAAACTAACGACATCGATTAATCGTAGTGTCACGAATGACCGTGTTGCGTTCGTTTTGTTGCAGGTGGACGATCGAGTCAGATCACCGGGGACATCACGATGCCTGACCGCTACTACCATGTCACTTTCCATCTCGCCATCTAGCCCCGAAGAACCTGTTACGCTGTAAGTAATACAATATGTATATAACATAAATTTCAGAGCCGTCTGCTGTGGTGCTACAAATGTTGTTATCAAGATGGACGATATCAAATATCTCTATGATATCTATCTCTGCTAGAATAGCTTTCCTCCTGTTTGTAGATAACAAATTAGGATCGAAGATACGCGTGTCGAAATAATACATTTTTATTATAGATTAAATGAAATTTATTTTTATAACATGTGATCATATTTTATAGAACAACATAATGACAATTTATTATTTCTATCTATAATAAACTAAACCTAAATGCCACACAATTTTTTTTACTTTATTAAAATAATATTGTTTAAGTTTTGATGTAAAAATATAACTTAAAAAATGGAATAAACATTTTTTAGTTACCGAAAAAAAAAACAGAAACATAAAGAAAAAAAAAGAAAGAACGTACACACACTTTAAAAGAACACATTTTCATTCCTTTACAAACAGTTATTACACCAAAAATGCATTTCAAAATAAATATTATAAAATTTTATTACTCAAAACATTGAAATTTATGTTCTAGAAACCTTGTTTTTTGAATTTTATTGTTGTTATAAATAAGCAATATGTGTAACACAAAATATTTTACAAAAGCTTCTAAAAAACACTGAAATTTATATAATAAAAAAAATATTAAACATGATTTGCTACGTGCGCATAACGAAGAATACAGCGATTCATTTCTCTATATTGTCTAAGAAAATAAAAAGTCACGGTAAATGTAGGGATGCGACCGCGATCCTTGCAGCTTCCTTTCCGCGATCCAAAAAGCTACTCAGGCAAATTAGTTTTGCAATATAGCAATGGTATTCTCGTATGGTGCTATACCCTCGTTATCGGGCGTTTCTTCTCTCTTACTGTCGCCGGTTCGGCTTTCCATAGCACCGCATAGATGGTATAGGGGCCACGCAGAAAAATGCACGGGGAGGGAGAGATGATATTTATGCCAGTTTTTTATTGCGCTTTAGCTCGAGAGAGCAGAATGGAAACAATATGTCACCCGGGTAGGGAATTGTAGGTAGCCCGACCGGCGGTACCTAACGTTAATACTAACGCCTCTGCCGTGCTAGCGCCCTCCGACCGACGTCATGATTTTAAATGAACAACTCCCATTTCTCCCTTTTAGCCCGAAAACACAGGCGAACGACGGGATTGCCACCGTGCGTTTCGCGATACCGTGCATTAAGCGATTTTTGAATTTGTTTGCATTGTGCAATTATTTCCAATTCAAATTATTCAGCGTAATTGGCGCAGCATACAAATGAAAGTATGTACAAATATTTGTAAGCTTTAGGTAGAATAAGTCTCAAAATAAATTGTCTCGTTTGCACAGTTATGAGAAGATTTTAATCTCATGTAATAATAATCGAAAAAAATAAGTAACCATAATTAAGGAAGAGAAATATCTCTGAAGAAATTTCATCGTACCATATATTTAAAAGTACCGAATGCATACCGAAGACGTACAGATGCCGGAGCAAGAAAATAAACTTGTGTGGAGAGAAGAAATTTGGCGTACATTTTTCCGGGTAAATATAGATCAAACTATATATAAATAAATCTCCGATAATCTCCCGGCAAGACCGAAATATTCGAGGTCGGACAATTTCTGGTGGTTCTGCTTATCGTTCGAAAGTGCGCGGAAAAGAAAAGGAAAAAAGAGAAACGAAAAAAAGAAAAGGAGGGAGGACTCGTTATTCGGGGTCTCAAGAGTCATCGGATAAGTGCATATCGATTTCTCCCTATTGGCGAGGGTCGGGCCGTTGTCGGTAAGATCGAGGCGAATGGGAAAAAAGAAGGCGGTAAAAAGGGCAAAGGCTATAAGTAACGGACCGTCTGGTGGAAAGCGCTCGAGGGCGAACAGTGATTTAGAGAAATTAAAACTTTAATTCATGTTCGGGTTCATGGGGGGTTGTGTCCTCTATCCCCTGTCCTCTCTCCCTTCCTGCCCAACCGCTGTTCCACCCTGTGGCATTCTCTGTCCCCGTCGATCGACCGAAATCTCGGTCCGCGCGTAAATTGGCAAACCCAACTAATGCTCGTTTTGCTTTGCTATTCTCGCGGCTCTTCTATATTTTCATATGAATACTAATCTCGTATTACATAAGCTTACGTGCCATGAAGCAATATATTTATTAGAAAATACGTGTGAGCGTGAGGCAGTTTATTTAAATAATTCACATTGTTTATTTATTTGTTATTTAAACAAAAAATTCCTCAATTGAAATTAAAAAATTATATTCTCTATTGACATATTATCTTTAAATATGTCAATAGAGAATACATTTGACAGTCTAGAAAATATAAAAGAATGTCTTGAATAATAGAATAGAAACGTTATTCAACAAATGTAGAAGCTATTTGTTTGTCAATCGGGAATCTGTAAGATCGGATGATTTATAACTAGAGGTCAAACGAACAAATGTTTCAATAGATCAGTCATACAGGTCTGTATAAACACGATTATCATTCTGATTTAAATTGCACATATATTTTATAGCACAATAATGCCAGACCGATCTGTATGGTCGACAAGAGGTGAATAAAAATTCAATATTGCAGAATAAAGCAACGCCATGTATTTTACTGCTTATATAATGTATATTCTTAAAGCATTTTCTCCCCAAATTGATATAGATTATCCATAAACTCTCTTCTATAGATATTTCTCCGAAAATGTATTGGTGCCCATTTGCTAACTTGTAACATCAATGTAGTTAAAGAAACTCATTACTATGAATGTAACTTATGTGAATTGCATTTTCTTCAACTTTGCTGTTAAAAAAAATTTCAAGTAGAGTGTATCTTTAATATCATTTTAATTAAAATTTTTTATTCAATTTTATTTATATAATATTTATTGTAATATAATTAATTATATAAATTTTCAATGAAATTAATAATATAAGAAAATGCGCGATATTTAACATATTTTTACTGTCGCTTTATGTCTAATATTGTTACTTATAATCATGAAGGATTCTAAAAAGTAACAAACTCGCAGACAAAAGCATCATGATAAATCTGCATTTCAGAAGACGTCCTTACAAACTTTTATGAGCCATGCAGGATACAGAATATGAGTAAAGGACGTACCCTTTATCTTCCTTTCCTTTAGTCTGTTGTCCCTACCACGGTTTCTCTCTTCGTCCATCCTTCTTTTATACTGTTCTTCTCTCTCCTTGCCTCTGCGCATCGCGCTTTGGCTTTTAGGGCAACCTCCGCCTCCAATAAATTCCCATCACCAGCTTCCAGGTACGCTTTCGTCGAGTAAATCATACCGTAAGTGAATCCGAATTGAATGCAATGAGTAAATATGGCTCTAGTATAATGAAAGGCAACCACGAATGTCTGGCAGAAACCACGACAATCGATTTCCAATCCATTATATGAAAAACTTTCTTTGTTGTCGTCGCCACACTGTATTATAATTGCAATTTAAATTTATTCTTGACATCTTACGTGCAGTGCATTTATATCTTGCTAATGCCATTTTTGAAGAAACTATATTATTTTTCTTTATTGCGCGAAGCAAATGTGGCCGATTTACGCGTGTTTTCGACGTAGTTTCCGCCCGCATGTATGCGTGAATGCGAGTCAAGGAGCAGCCAGTCGGTGGAAATGCATAAATACATGAGTCGCGGGGCAACGAGCGAAAGAGGGAGACAAGCTTGGCCCGCATATGTAGCGAGCGACTCGTACCTCGTAATAACGTGTGGATAGCGGCTCTCTCGTCGTGAAAATATGGTCTTTCAAAAGCCTGTAGTTTCCCCTCGAAAACGGGCATGGTTTCGCTCGCTGTCGAAAAAGAGCGAAAGGGCACATGAGAAATGACAATCTTATTCCACAACTTCCTGTCGCTAACTCCGTCTCGCTCAACGATTCTGTCTATGGTGTAACTTCTCTTTGTTATCGCGCGCTGTACAATGATTTTTTTATCATATACGATATTATTTTTAGAAATTTAATTTATTAGGTATGATAAAATTTTTACAAAATTATAATTTAATTTGTAGAGAGAGAGAGAGAGAGAGAGAGAGAGAGAGAGAAAAGAGTTTTTTGATATTTTGTAAATGTGTGAAAAAGTACGAATCTCTCCCACCGATACTCAATCTTTTATAATGTAAATGGCAGCTTCGCATAGTCGAGGGATTATAACCATTAAATTTTCGTGAACGTGACTCTTAAAATTTTTCCTAATCCCATTGCGATCGACTCGATTAAAAGTCGAAGGAAGCTATGAAGTAACGACTATGAACGAAGCGGCGATTGCGTCGCAGGAAGCGGAGAAACTGAATACAAGGGGATGACTCTGCAGGCACTAGAGAGAGGCGAGATTCGCATTCCCGCATTACTGTCACGCGAGTAATTACGCACCGTCGAAAGCAACGGTGCGGCGGGGTGGAGGTGGATGCAGGGACGAAAGGAGCAGGAGGAGTTAGAAGGGTTGCTGTCGCTGCGCCACTGGCGTCTCCCGGCGTTGCGCGATTCGCAGCCAACGGGAGAAACCAGAGCTAATAAAAGCCCACAATTACCTCCGGTTCGAGCCATTTGTCTTGACGGGCGTCTCATGCCCGATATAATTCACCCTGGCAACAACACATTGTTGCCTAATGAGGTGTAAAACATTCCGAGATATCTGGCTGTCTCGGGCTGCGAGGGCGGTTTCCGTAGAGGCGATTCACGATATCGCGATAGCCCTTTCCCCGCCGCGCTTTTGCGCTTAGTCTGATTCTTCTCCGTTTTAGAGAGTCCTTATGGAATCTCGAAATTTTCCGATCCGCGTATCTGCCTTTCTTTGAAAGTTACTGACATTAAAATTGATCGGCAGAAAATTTTTTAATAAATCTTAGATCGCACTGTAAAGAATCTGGGAATCGACGGCAATTCTAGTAATAATTTGTAATATTTCTTTTATATTGGATATATTTCTTAATATTGGATATATCAGACATACATGTGTTTTATTTGTCACACA